CTGTCCCGTTTGAGCTGATGGCCACCTGCTCGCTCCTGTACTTTTCCTGGAAGACCGCCTTCCTCATAGCTATCTCTTCGGCGAGATATGTGTCTGAGCTCAGGGCACTCACATTGGAACCACTGTATACGGTGTCCCTTAAGGACAAGGTACAGCTGCGACCCCACCCGGCCTTCCTCCCGAAGGTGGTGTCTCCCAGCGCATCTCATCCTGGATCACATCATGCATCCGTGCGTGCTATGACTTGGCTGGTATCCCAACTATGCACCTTACCGCCCACTCCACACGGACTTAGGCTTCATCTTCTGCTTTCCTGGCACATGAACCCATACAGGAGATATGTAGGGCAGCGACATGGTCATCGGTGCATACCTTTGCCGCCCACTATGTGATAATGCAGCAGTCCAGGGTGATGCTGCATTTGGTTCAGCAGTCCTTACTCTGCGACATCTCACTCCGACCCCACCGCCTAGGTAAGGCTTGGGAGTCACCTAATTGGAATCGATATGAGCAAGCACTCGAAGAAGAAAAGACGGTTATAAAGGTGAGTAACTGTTGTTCTTCGAGATGTGTTGTTCATATCCATTCCAAACCCGCTCTCCTTCCCCTCTGTCGGAGTAGCCAGCAAGAAGGAACTGAGGAGGCGCTGGGTCGCCTGGGGCATATATTGGCGCCATGAAGGTGCCACTCCAGGGGGCGCATCAGCCGACCCACCGAGTGTTGCTGGGGTAAAAATCTTCCAACGATTGTGCATGCGGAGCACGCACACCTAATTGGAATGGATAGGAGCAACACATCTCGAAGAACAACAGTTATAAAGGTGAGTAACCATCTTTTATTCACCTAACTGCAACCATTTTTCCGCCTGGGCTCATCAACACAATTTGCGTCCAGATTCCGCAGGAATCCCTGGTATCTTAGAGTGTACATTTACCCCAAGTCTTCAGGTCTTGCATTTGGTTCCCTGTGGGTGCATGTAGCCACAATCTGCGCTTTCCATCCTCCACTTAATAATCGTATGACCTTCATGCACCCTGTCACAGCTAGATTTTTGAATGAGATTCTCAGATCCTTTCCACCAGTGGTGAAGATCAAATCTCAATGTGACCTCAGTTGTGTTCTATCATCACTGAGTAAGACTCCCTTTGAACTGCTGGCCACATGCATCTATCCGTGAAGGTGGTCTTTCTGATAGCTAAAACGTTGACCAGACGAGTCAATGAACTGAGAGTGCTTATTGCAGGCCCCCCATACATTGCTTTCTATAAAGAAAAGATCTTGTTATGCCCCCACCTCGGGTAGTTTGAGTTTCATAGGTCATCCACTTATCTGTATTTTTTCCTAAACCACATGTCTCAGAAGAGAAGAAAAGACTGTATTCTCTGGACGTTTGGAGAAAAGAACAAAGAACATTAGAAAGACACCTAAACTGTTTCCATAGCAGAACAGTCAAGAGGTCCATCTATATTGGTGCAGAGACTTTCAAAATGGATCTTGATTATATTACCCCTTTTGTTACCAACTAGCCATGATGGGTAGAGACACATTGCACAAGGGGGCAGGTTACTTCATTCTAGAGACATATATAGGGCAGCTACTTGGAGCTCTTTGTATACCTTCATGAGACGTTATGCCCTGATACAGTCGTCAACTGTGTATATGGCTGGAGGAACAGCAGTACTGCAGTTAACTGTCACTTCTGTATCCTCTCCACCCACCATACTGCTTGTTAATCTCCCATATGTGGAATATGCATCGGGACCGCACTCAAAGAAGAAATGCAGGTTACTCATGTGCGTGGTGTGCATGCATATCCCATGTGTGGAATACAGATAGGGACCACACATCTCAAAGAACTGCAGTTACAGGTAGGTAACTTCCATTTATAGTCACCCAGAAAAGAAGTATGAAAAATGTATAAGTACAGGATTTGTAATCCCTAGATTTTTGGAACATGTGATTCACACTCGGCCTTGTCTACATTGGAAAGTCCTTTTGGTATAATCTAAGGTGTGAATTATTAAACTGGTGTAATGCTCCATTTGGACACTCTTGTCCACTACTTTTGTGTTTTTCAGTTGTGACCATCTAGTTTGATCTCCTGTATGACACAGACCATAGAATTTCCCCCCAAAAAAATTCCTAGCATATCTTTTAGAAAAACATCTAATCTTGATTTTAAAATTGACAGTGATAGAGAACCCACCAATGACCCTTGGTAAATTGTTCCAATGGCTAATTATCCTCACTGTTAAAAATTTATGCCTTATTTCCCGTCTGAATTTGTTTAGCTTCAACTTTTAGACATTGGATCATCTTATAGCTTTCTCTGCTAGATTGAAGAGCCCATTATCAAATATTAGTTCCTCATGTAGATACTTCTAAACTATAATCAAGTCTCCTCATAACCTTCTCTTTGTTAAGCTAAGTAGAGGTAGTTTGTTTGGCAAGGGGTTTAACCTAAACCGAAAAAGGCTGTTTGAAAAATATGAGTATAAGAATGGTCACCGGGTTGGGGGGAAAAAGTGTTCTGTACAGGTCTAACAAAACCAGTATAAGGTAGTACCAAGTTCCTGTGTAAACAAGGCCTAAAGAAGGGTTGACTCAGTACTTTAGAGGGAGATTAATTGAGTTTCATTGAGTGTTAATTTCCTGTAAACTCCTCCTAAATTCCTGCTCTCCAAAGTCTGTTGCTGCCTTTTTCCCTTCCAAAGCTGGAGGAATCTGTTTACTGTCACTAGAGCTAAAAACTGCTTAGACGTCCATAACAGCCAATTCAGTAGTCCTCTACTTTCTGCCATACCTACTTTCTGCCATGCCATTTCTGTTCTTAGAAACTTAGGCTCAGTTTAAAAGTCTCCATACAGCCTCTCTGGTCATTCTGGGGACAAGTTCAGAGAATCTCCCCTCTAAGCTTATGTCTACACAGCAACTAGACACCTGCAGCTGGCCTGTGCTAGCTGACTAAGGCTCACAGGGCTCAGCCTGCAGGGTTGTTTCATTGCTGTATAGACTTGTTGGCTTGGGTTGGAGCACTGGCTCTGGGACCCTCCCACCCCATAATGTCCTAGAGCTCACGCTCCAAGCTGAGCCCGGAAATCTTCACAGCAATTAAACAGTCCCTTAGCCTGAGCCCCACGAGCCCAAGTCACCTGGTGTGGGCTGGCCTCAGGTTTTTATTTGCTGCGTAGACATATCCTAAGTGCTTCAGTCAGGCAAACTATACATTACATCTCTGGGACTATTGCCAGTGTCACTAGGCTACACTGACTTTATTCAGGGGGTAGCAAGTACCTCTTATAAAACATTTGGAAAGTGCAACCTGGGGACAGTCTTTCTTCCCTGAGTGCGTGGGGCTTAGTTTCTTTGCTTTGTAAAATTGTTTTACTTGAGTTCAACCTCTGTACTAGGTCCAATAAGCATTGATGTTTAAGAAGATCTGTTTGTGTCCTACAGCAATATCTAGTGGCCAAATCTGTGCAGGTGTTCAGGTACCACGATGCTGGGGACCATATAAGTAGCTTGATAGAAACAAGAAAAGGAGTACTTGTGGCACCTTTCTAAGGTTCCACAAGTACTCCTTTTTGCGAATACAGACTGACACAGCTGTTACTCTGAAACTTGATAGAAACACATTTTCTAACATACCGTGGAACCGGGGTTCTCAACCTTTTTCTTTCCGAGTCCGTCCGTCCGTCTCTCCCCCCCCCGCCACATGCGAAAAAACTCTATGGCCCACCTGTGCCACAATAACTGTTTCTCTGCATATAAAAGTCAGGGCCAGTGTTAGGGGATAGCAAGCAGGGCAGTTGCCCAGCACCCAATACCACAGGAGGCATTGTGAAGCTAAGTTGCTCAGGCTTCAGCTTCAGCCCCTGGTAGTGGGTGTTGGAGCCTCGGAGTTCAGACCTGGGTGGTGGGGCTTTGGCTTTCTGCCCTGGGTCCCAGTAAGTCTAATGCCAGCCCTGCTTGGCGAACTCCCTGAAACCTGCTCGTGGGCCCCAGATCCCTGGTTGATAACTACTGCCAGAGAACAGTGGTTTTCAAAACTTTTTTCTGGGGACCTAGTTGAAGAAAATTGTTGATGCCCGTGACCCAACGGAGCTGGGGATGAGGGGTTCGGGGTGTGGGAGGGGCTCAGGGCTGGGGCAGAGGATTGGGGTGAGGGCTGTGGGCTGGGGCCAGGAATGAGGGGCTGGGACAGGGGGTTGGGATGTGGGAGGGGGTCATTGCTCTGGGGTGGGGCTGGAGATGAGGGGTTTGGGGTGCAGGAAGGGATTCCAGGTTTGGGGGGGGGGGCTCAGGGCTGGTGCAAGGGATTGGAGTGCAGGGGGGGGTCAGGGCTCTAGGGTGGAGCTGGAGATGAGTTTGGGGTGCAGGTGTGTGGGGGCTCAGAGTTTGGGGCAGGGGATTGGGGCATGGGCACGGACTTACCTCCAGCAGCTCCCGGTCAGGCGCAATCGGGGTGCACCGTGGACCATGCTGTGCCCCGGAAGCAGCCAGCAGCAGGTTTGGCTCTTAGGCAAAGGCGCACAAGCAGCTCTGCGTGACTCTCGCCTGCAGGCACCCCACATTGGTTGCTGGCCAATCGGAGTGCAGAGCTGGGGCTCAGGGTGGGGGCAGTGTGTGGAGCCCTGTGCAGAGTCCCATAGCCCCCCTGCCTAGGATCTGGACCCGCTGCTGGCCGCTTCCGGAGTGCAGTGTGGTGTTGGAAAAGGTAGGCACTAGCCTGCCTTAGCTAGGTAGCACCACCGATGAGACTTTTAACATCCCGGTTGGCAGTGTTGACCAGAGCAAGGCGAACCAGCGCCTTACATGCTGCGACCCAGTAGTGTGTCATAACCCACAGTTTGAAAAACGCTGCCATAGAAGACCTTACGCTGTGCCAAAAATATGTAGGCAGTTGTGATGGGCATTTCAGAATCAGTTCTGACTTTATCAGGTTGCACAAAATATTCCAAATGCCTGATGGTTTTTCTGTTTGTTCCTCACTCTTCCAGCACGTGAGCAGAAGATTTTATGGCCTAAATGGAAATTTGGTAAAAAGTGACTCTGGAATATGGATTAATGGGTTGGACTATGCTGGAATATCTCACATCACTCCTCACGTACCTGAACTCAATGACACTATCAGAACTAATTGTGAGGACAAAGCCCCTCTCTGTGGCTTTCCTTGGATTCTTCCTGTGCACTTTCTTCTCAGGTAACTTTCTTCTCAGTAATGCCACTGCCTGTTAGGGCCACATGGAACTTAATTTCCAAGACACACCAGACACTTTTGCAAAAGATCCATAGAAGGATGAAGAATAAAACTCATTTTGTAACGTTTTTGTCTGTCACTGCAAAACGCTTTCTCTTTCATCATATTATAATGTCCCTGGCTGCAAGTGTTTTGTCACAGAAACTTTATGAGAAAACACTTGATAACTGATGTCATGGTCTCGTGTCCACCCAAAGGGTGGCAATTTGCACATCTAAAAATTCCTTACTTTGGTTATTGTTTTAGCTTGTTCTACCTTAAGTTAACTATGGCTTGGGTCAAAGAGAATGAGGTGAGGAATAAAGGCATGGTGGAGGCAATCCTGCTGTTCACTGAGTGTCCCTTTTAAATGTTTTGATTGTGGACACAGACTGTGAAAGCATTAATCTTCTCCTCTAGGGTGAATGGCACTTGAACACTTCATTTTGTAATAGCAAGGCCACCCAGCCTTGTACAAAGACTTGCATTTTGCCCAGAGTCTGTAATCTTTTAGCACTATAAGGTTTTTCTAAGTGTTGCATTGAGCTTAAAAAATGCTTTTTATTGTAGAAAGAACTGGTATCTTCCTGGTGAAGAAATTTCTCCCGCAAACCCTGTTCACTTTAAACTTCTGGCCAAAGAGCAAATGCACTGGGATTCTACAAAGTTAACCTTTGAAGTATCAGGCGAGTGGCTATATGTCTATCTGTCTCTTGTGATTGTTATGCTCATTATAGGCTTAAATTCTGGTATTGAAAGTGGCTATGCTATCCCTAGGATAGTAGAGTGATTGGCACTAATGCATAATTGGGAACCTGGCATCAACTAATTCAACTTCCCAGGCACTCGAAAAATTGTGGCTATATTGCAATTGTAAACGTAAAGGCTCATTTGAATTAATAATTGACTTTTGTTAGCTAGAACTTTTTAAAGCCCATTTTATAACTCTATCCCATCCACCCCCCTTTATTTGTCTTGCTGCACAGGATCCTCTATGGCTTCTGCTACAGACAGGAGAGCTGCTTAGTTCTGTATCTCAAATTGAGAGAGACAACTGGCAGCGCACAGACTAAATCTCTCATACAAAATGAAATTAAACAGCTGATTGGGCACAGAAGAACCCATAGTAGCTAGAATGCAGTAGAAATGTGTTTCTCTTCACCTTCTTCTGCTAATACATCCAAATACATTTGCCTGTCTGATGTTGTAGGTCCCAGTCACATGTCGCTGTACATTCGACCACATGAAGGGTCAACACTGTCCAGCTGGTCTCTTGGAGATGGAATTCCTGTTGCTAATATAGGAGGGGATTATTTTGTGTTTTACGCTCATGGGCTGCAGGCTGTGGCATGGCGCTTCTGGATAGAGTTGAAGGTGAGAGTGAAAAATATTTGAGAAAACTTTAAAAATAAACCCAACTTGCTTTATTACATAGATTAACAGAATTCTAGAGATGATATTTAATTGTCTTTTAGTCTGTCCTCTGTGGGCTGATACAAGGCTGTCCTCACTCTGTGTGTGTGTGTGTGTGTGTGTGTGTATATATATGTGTGTGTATATATATATTTTAGTGCATTCTCTTGTCAAATTTTAAATGACCCAAGGGTGGGGCTTCCATTATTTCCTTTGATAGACTCTTTTACAGTCTTCTGTCTTGCCATTAGGATTTTTTTATATTTAGCTCAAATTTACCTTTTCTTAATAGTATCTCACTGCTCCTAATCAGAGCAGTTTTGTTGTAGTCTAAATAATTCCTCCCCATGTACTATGTTTACTTGCTTTGGGAAACTAGGACTCTTTTTTGAGTAGCAAATCCATTCCCTGAGAAAGGGAGGGAGTTGCAGGCTTTGTTTTGTAAACTTCCTGTGGATACGTTTACCCTTTTAAGGTGCCTCTTTGAGCAATTCCCAGTTTGTTTTCCAAGGTGAATGTTGATGGGACCAGGGTAGTCATCTCTCATCATTTTACCTAAAGTTTCCCAGAAATAATTCACAGCATACCTGGAATCTTTTATTGCCATAAAATTTAAGATGTCTGATTCCCTTGGAAATTTTTATAGGGAACCACACGGGTTCAGCAAGGGTTCATTCCTGGATAAGGTATTCTGATCACTTGCCAAATGATCTTCGAAGGTGGAGTAAAGAAATACTCACCAGTGGCCTTGCACCCCATTGTGCCAAACAGGAGTCTGTTTTGTACTGGAGCTCTGCCAGACGGACAAAGAAATTTTATTTGTTACCTGAACACGAGATTGAGGAGTTGGGAAGAGCTTGCAAAACTTGTAGCCCCGCTTTGGTAGCTATGATCAGGGGGCTGAACTCCTTTGTATAGTAAACTTAAGGTAAATTAATTTTATTTAGTTGCTAGGAAAGGAACTCTGGTGCTGGTGATGAGTGAGCCTGCTGCAGGGCCCATCAGAATCATGACAAGTAGATTGATCCAACAGATGAAGGAGCAGCCTTTGGAAGCTTTTCACAGTAACTCTCTTCAGGCAGGAAGATTCACTTCCTTGTTTGTATTGGAGATTTGATCATACTGACCTCTTCAAGGATACATGGGCCAAGTCCTGAGCACAATTGAATGTGTGCAGTCTTAAGTAAATGGCATTGTACATGTGCAGCGGAATACAGATCAGCTGGGATATCGGGTCAATACCAATACGTCTGTTGATTCTCTCTTCTATCAGGGATCTCCATTCTGCAGAGTCTCTTCTGCATGATGGTAAATTGATTTTCTTTCACATTAGATAATACTGCTGGTATATCTTAACAGACATTAAGAAGGCTTTTAACTTTAAAAATAGTGAACCATGAGGCTGATGTAGTATATTGGACACTAGCTGGCTTGTAGGAAGACTCAGCAGAGGTATCTGGAATAAACGGTATCTAGAACCTATGAAGAGGCCAAGGTAAAAGTAATGCTTGGTAAATTTGGCATTGCCTTTTCTCACTTTCAGGCTGCAGAAAAGCACTCTGATGGAATGGTTTCCCTCGCCATAGCAGCACATTATTTCTTTGGGGAAGATCAAAAGTCACCTCAGCTGTATGCCTTAATGGAGAGATTTCCAAACTGGACATTTCCTTCTGGTTGGGTCTGCACCTATGACCTCTTTGTCTTTTAGTCTTGCAGCAATGCAAAGATGAAAGATTAGTGTCACTGTGTCAGAAGATTCAACTCTCATTCATGAGTTCATTCTGGCAAGGTGCACAAGATGGTTTTCACAAATCTGTGGCAAACATTTTGGACACAAGATTGTTTCTGTGATAGCTTCACTGCTTAAAGGATAAGCAGGGTTCCTGTCTTCTTTCTCTGGGAGTGGGTGGTCTTGCCCTCTCGGGCTGGGGGGAGAAGTGCCTCCATATTTATGCAACTATAATTCAGCTGTTTCTCGCACTGACGTGGCAGTTTGACTAGTGTGGATCTAACATGAAGACTGCATTTGGGGAGGTAACTTTTTAATGAGGGTCTTTGTGAAGGAATTCCCACAATGTTGTAAAATACTCATCAGGTTTTAAATACATATGGATGCTATCACCTACAAACACTTAGTCCTACCCGTCCTATTAAAATAAAATAAGGTTTTGGCTAAAGGATTTTTGATCATGTATGTGATGGAGCCAGAAGCCTTTTTCTGAGTAAGTATTACTGTGACCTCTGGATGAAACCAGTTTTGAAGTAGTCACTTAGGCTATGCTGTGTCCTTGGAAAATTTCGAAGACTGGAAATTTCATGCCATGAAACTTAATGATCAGTCTGTTACTTAGATCACTAACAACTTTTCTTTTCCTGTCCTCCACTGTTCTGTTTAAAGATGTTTATTGGTCACTTCCTTTCTCTGTCCTTGTGCTAACTCTTTACCACAGTGACTTTTGAGTAGAGGAGGTTTGAACAAATCATACAGTCTTCTACTTATTTCCCTGTTGGGATCTTGCAGCCTGTTACAAGTACAACATGAAGACTAGACTCGTACATGAGATGCAAGCATGTGGCATTGTCGTGTACATCAGAGCACTGAGTCACACTCTGGCCTTTTTTTTTTTTTTTTTGAGTGGGCATCTTGTAACCGCTTGATTACTAGTTTCTAAATTGGTGTTGATTATAAATCTCTATTTAGCATACTAGATTATTTCTATCTGTATATTTTTGATAAATACTTTTATGTAGGTTTTATTGGTTGGTTAAGCGTAATTCATTTCATTTCACTTCATTTCATTAATACTTTGGTTTCGTGTTTAGTTTAATTTAAACAAAGTGCTTTCCATAAGGATTTATGTAACTATTGTGAAAAGAGACTTTTAAAGCACATGAAGCATCTGACATTTGTGGAGAACTGTTCTTAACTTAATCTTAGAGCATGGGATTTTCAAAAGCACAAGTGATTTAGGAACACAGCTCCCATTTAAAGTCAACAGGACTTGTGCTCCTAAATTAGGTATGTGTTTTGGAAAATCCCACCCCTCTAGAAAAATGTAGCCACCAAAAAAAACTGGAATCTTTGATTTTTGTTTTCCTAAATTGTGTCTGTAAGCTGGGGAAGTAGGGAAAATTTTTAGACTGTTGGGAAACTTCTCCAAATTAATTCCAGCTGTTTGTGCTGATCATTCTCTAGCACAATGGCATGAACTTAATGCTTTGTTCATAGAATATCAGGGTTGGAAGGGACTTCAGGAGGTCATCTAGTCCACCCCCTGCTCAAAGCAGGACCAATCCCCAGCTAAGTCATCCCAGCCAGGGCTTTGTCAAACCTGACCTTGAAAACCTCTAAGGAAGGAGATTCCACCACCTCCCTAGGTAACCTATTCGTGCTTCACCACCCTCCTACTGAAAAAGTTTTTCCTAACATCCAACCTACACCTCCCCCACTGCAGCTTGAGACCGTTACTACTTGTTCTGTCATCTGCTACCACTGAGAACAGTCTAGATCCATCCTCTTTGGAACCCCCTTTCAGGTAGTTGAAAGCAGCTATCAAATCCCTCCTCATTCTTCTCTTCTGCAGATTAAACAATCCCAGTTCCCTCAACCTCTCCTCATAAATCATGTGCTCCAGCCCCCTAATAATTTTTGTTGCCCTCCGCTGGACTCCTCCCAATTTTTCCAAATCCTTCTTGTAGTGTGGGGCCCAAAACTGGAACACAGTACTCCAGATGAGGCCTCACCAATGTCAAATAGAGGGGAATGATCATGTCCCTCAATCTGCTGGAAATACCCCTACTTATACAGCCCAAAATACCGTTAGCCTTCTTGGCAAGAAGGGCACACTGCTGACTCATATCCAGCTTCTCATCCACTGTAACCCCTACGTCCTTTTCTGCAGAACTGCTGCCTAGCCATTTGGTCCCTAGTCTGTAGCAGTGCATGGGATTCTTCCATCCTAAGTGCAGGACTCTGCACTAGTCCTTGTTGAACCTCATCAGCTTTCTTTTGGCCCAATCCTCTAATTTGTCTAGGTCCCTTTGTATCCTAGCCATAGGCTCCAGTGTATCTACCACTCCTCACTTTCACCTGAATAAAAATTGCCAAATTATATGCACAGGAGTTCTTGAATATGTACCAGTTAAAGCAACACGCTGTAGTGTTGTGGATATCTATGTGAGAAATTAATGGTTAAGATGACATTCCTCATGACTCGCAGTTGGCCCTGAGGGAAGATGGTTCTCATGATCAGGTTTATTAGCTGCTGATTTAATTTTTTTAATTGTTCAGTTAGAGTGTACTTAACCAGCATGGAACAAATCAGAATATTATGAGGATATATTTGTAGGGTGTTGCATGACTGAGATTCTCACAGACCAATTAAAGTATCTAATTGTTTTGGTTTTTGTACTGCATAAAGGAAAGAAAACCACCAGACTAACACTGTTGGCTCAACAGCACCTGGTCTTTCATGTACAGTGCTTATCCCTATTCATTTAGAGTACTTAACTATAAATAGGGGTGTATTATTAGTAATAGTTTTGCAGAAATCTGAGTCTTAACAGCTTTCTTAAATGTATAGTAAGTCTCATTAAAGGTACTGTTTTGTACTGCACTTACACTAGAGTTGGCAATTAAATAAGGATTAAGGCTGTACCAGAATCATTCACTGTCTTCCCCAAAATTAGTATTTTTATTGTGCCTCTAACTTGTAAACTTAAAAAAACAAGTGCAAGAAGAGTCCCTGGAGAGGGGGGAAATGTCAGTGTGCAGCATTCAAATAACTTCTGGAACTTCAGTGAAGCAATAACTATATTTTGTTACTGAAATGGTGTTGCTAACTCAGGATCACCCTTTATTAAATAGCAGAATTAAATTGTCTGGGATGACTTACTGGAATTCCTGCCTTATTAACATGCTGATTCTGTTACTGGGAGATTGATTGATTGTTTTTGTTTCTAGCACTGCAAGCCCCAACCTTTTACTTGAGACTTGGGGAATTACAATTACTGGTAAGACATGGCATGACTGAAGAGCGTAAAAATATTCTCCGTGAAGTGTGGACATGGAGTAAGAGGGCAACGTGTCTGTGTACCTGAGTAGGTGAGCCTGCTTAGTGCAGCATAGGTTTGCTGAATTATTTAGCAGGTGTCAGGGTAACAGGCATCTAAAAACTGCAATGATACAAATCACATGTAGGTAATCAGAGATGCCAAAATGGCAGTGGGATTCAGGTATACTGGTTATGTTGAATAAAAACTGATACCAATGCAGTTTCTTGTGTATTAGTTTTTTCTTTGAATTCTAGAAATAATTCTGCAAGCCCTACATGCAACTCACTCATTTCACACTATAAACAGTGCAGGCTTCAGTAAACCATTTCAGGAACTCACCTACCTTTTTTAATACTGCAGTTTTCTTGCCTTAAACTCCTAATAAAGCACAGTATTGGACTTGACTGCCTTTGTGACATGCTTCATAACTAAATTGCAATATGCCCAAAGGCTGTCACACTCATGCATTGAGTTGAAAGGTAAAGGTGCACTGTGGTGGAAGCCTTTCTTTACTTTTTGTGGTGCAGTAAGCAAGTAGTGGATTAATTGTTCCATGTGAAGTGGTAGAAGTTTCTAGAGGTCTAGTCTTTTTAAAATTGCTTTAGTTTAGGCTAACTCTTACCACATGAGACTTTCCAGGAGCTCCTGTAAGTCTTATTAATTTAAACCTTTACCAGTGGTGTTTATATAAATAAACATAAACGCTTTAAAATAAGTTAATTATGTTACAGTAAGTATGGATCTGTGCATTCTGTACACATGGATCCCACTCTTGTACACAGGTGATCAGAATCTTTTAACCAGCAGTGTGTGTTTGGGGCTGTGGATGTGCTCTATATGGCTTCATGCCACCCCTCTTGAGGGTGCAGCATCCCCATCTGCGTATAGAACATCTTGAAGAACCTCAGTTACTGTCAGGTAAGTAACCATTGTTTCTTTGAGTATGTGTCCATATGTATTCTGCTCTTGTTGATTACTCAGGCTTAACTCTTCTAGATCATGAGATGGGAACCTATTGAAGTAAAGACTAATACTGCTTGACCAAACTGGGCAGCAGAGATGGAGGCTGATACCTGTGAATGGAGATCCATGCTGCTGCTCAGCATTTCCAGGTTAGGCTAGAAACTCTGATCTCCTGCATAACACAGGCTCTGGGAGTCACATGAATTAATTCCTGCTTCAATTCCAAAACCTATGGTTGACAAGAGCACTGGTTTTCAATCTGTGGTCTGCCGGTTTATATCTAAGGGGTTAACGAAAGATTGTTACTATACAACACTGGTTTTCAACCTGTCGGCCACACACTCTGTAAGATTTCCAAAGGGGTCTGCAGATGAAAAAATGTTGGAAGTCACTGGACTAAAGCATATCTTTTGATTTAAGATTTCCAGCGAGGGAGAGTCCACCACAACCCATGGTAAACTGTTCCTCATAGTTTTAGTCTGAAGCACTTTAGCTTCAAGCTATTGGATTATATTTCTCTGCTAAATTGAAGAGCTATCAAATTTGTGGTCACAGTGTAGGTTTTAACTTGATCAGTCTCAGCACCTTGGAGTCTTATAATGTACATTTTCCAATAACTCAGCTCTTCTCTCCACAATTTAGGAATGAGGGTGATAAATTGGAACACAGCTGCACCAGTGCGGTAATATAAATTTCCTCCTCCTGCCTGTAGATCCAAGGATTGCATAAGGTTTTTTGGCTACAGTAGTGTTCACGTTCACCTGATTATCTACCAAACTCTTGAGTCATTGCATTCCAGGATTGATTCCCCATCGTGTAAGTATGACCTTACATTTGCATCTGTGACCCACTGTCACTATTTACTAAGCCCCAAACTGTCTCAGTAATTCTTTTCTTCCAGTTAGTTGATAAAATGTTAAATATCAAGCCAATTCCTGCTGTACCTCATAGACAAACATGCAGCTGTGTAAGTCCCAGGATAAGGTAGATGATAGTATCTTTTATTGGACCAACTTCTGTTGGTGAGAGGAAACCTTTATACAGAACTCTTCAGTAGTTTAATATATACTGTGTTCATTGGGTATCCACTCTAGCTTTTTAAGCCCAGATTTGTAAAACTATTGAGGCACATGAGTCTAAATTCCATTGTCATTTGATGGAATTCAGACGGACTGCTTTAATAGCTTTTGAAAGTAAGATCTAGGCTCCTAAATCAATTAAGCATAGCAATGCTTAAGTAGCTTTAAAAATCTGCACCTTAAAAGTGATGTACCACATCACATGCCTGAGAGAAGCCTACACTCAGCAAGTACTGCAATTTGGGTCCTCCACTAATAGCATTTAATACTTCCCTCTACAAGATACTATTTGAAATTACATTAAGATCCAATTCATTATTTTGCCTTTCCCCAGCTGCATATAGCATTAACCAAGAATACTGTAAGTTTTTAGTATTGCTTTTACTAACAGGACCGCTAACTTGCTCAATTTTACAGTAATTTACTCTGTGTTCATTTCACCAAAAGCCATGACATTAGTTAAGAAATAAATGTATGAAGGAAAAAACCTGTATACTCTATTCCAAAAAATTGTCCAGGTTGGCTTTTAAGTGTTTAAGATGCTTTGCATTAGTGAGATCACTGCAGATGATTATTGCAAGGCAATTTCTTCTATATCTGTTCAAACTACATATAGAATAGCAGTGCTGGAATGTAAATAAGGACAGTTCTGTACATGTTGAAGGGCTTTACAATTTAGTGCTGTGAGGGGAAATCAAAAACTTTAGGAGGCTTATGGCAGTGATTCTCAACCAGGGGTACCTCAACTCAGATATTTGCCTAGTTTTACATAAATACTAGTAAAAAGTCAGTACAATTACTTGTTTGTACAGCTCTATTATTTACACTGAGAGAAGGATGGCCATAGACACTGAAATTTCCGTACAGTAGTTTACTATGGTAAACAAGAAAGTGTGATGTAATTTGGGGGTACACAAGACATATCAGATTGCTGAATGGTTGAGAATCACTGGCTTATGGTGAAAAGTTACAGCACAAAGTTCTAATTATAGCAGTAGCTGCCATTTTTCTACAGTAGGAAAAGTCCTGAGTATAGTTTCAAGGGACTTCTGTTCAAACCTAGGGTGACCAGACAGCAAATGGGACAGGGGATAATAGGAGCCTATATAAAAGACAGACCCAAAAATCAGGACATCTGGTCACCCTGTTCCAAGCTCACTTCAGGTGGGGGCAGATCTACCTTTACTCCTGTAACTTTTTCAGAAGTGAGAATCTGAACTTCTGTTCAGACTTTTTCCAATCCATTAGTGCAGCACTCAATTTACCATCCAGAAATAAATTGTCAGTTTTAAATGACAATTTGGATTTTATTTTTCACTTAATGTATACTAGTTCAGCCTGTTTTACTTGCAGCATTAAAGGCTTACTTTCATTTGATTTTTTTTGCCTATGGAAAGTTGCAAATTTAATTTTGTGACTATGGCCAGTCAAAAGTTGACTGTATTCTTTAACAGATTTAAAGGTTCACCAAAAGCTTAATACAACTGTTTTATTGGTCAAGTCCCCTAATTTGGATGGAAGAACATAAAGCATACTAATGTCAGTTATCTGAAGTATTTACTAGGCAGGTATCTATCCCCCAAAACAGGATTTGAAGTTTTACTGCATGTAAGACAAATTAAAGCAATCAAAATTACACCTACAGCAGACACCATTATTAAACTCTTTAAAACATAAATAAGCAAGAAGTGCAACCAGCCACTTACTTCACCCCTGTGAAAAACCTGACCTGTCTTAAGTGTGAAGAATAAATTTTCAGAATTTGAATAGGAACAGCAGCAGTGGGAGACCATTGATTTTTTTTTTTTACCAAGTGGTAGTTACAGCATAAAAATAAGCTAGTGGAATTTTGTATAAAATAAGTAATGGTGCATTATTTTATTCAGATTGCACAGTACAAACAAGCTAATATCTAAATTGTAATACTGTTACAGGTATTTAATATTACATATATTGGGGGACAGCAGCTAGGAAAATAAGCACCTCAAAGCAGCTATGAGACTTCTGCAGCCAGCTTTCATAAGTGGCTGAAAGTTATAATAAAATCTTAATTACACATTATAAAATGTTTGAAAAAAATGTAAGTATGCACTGCTTACATATTACTAAAATTTAGTAACAGTACATAAGTGATTCTATTTACATAAAAAAATCCATTCTTGTGAAAGGAATTTACACATGAAATAAATAAGACCCTTCAGTAATCTTAAAATTAATTGTAGGTCAGAGTGGCCAAGGGTAAAAAAATCAAGCCACTTTTAAAATGTTACTGTAATGATAGGTCAGAGTAAAAGTATGCCACATCCAGAAGGAAGTGCAACTCTGCTTTAATTTTACCAGTTAGCTATAACCATGCAAAATACACAGGTACCTTAAAATATGGTACAACCCCAAGAGAATGAACAGCACACCCTTGAGAATATTTATACAAGAATATTCACAAAAACATACACTTTACAATTCTTTAATACAAAATATTTAGTGATATCAAACAGCATAAACACTTAGAGCCCAGTTGACTCAGGCCATAACTTTTTAACTACCTTCATCTTACAATTTATATTTTAAAGTCTGACAGGAAAAACAGGCAAGGTGTCGATGATAATAAAACTGTGAAGTCATCTCTTGCTTTCTCTCATTATATAGGAGATATTCAGAAGGTTGTCCAAATTAGGTGACACATATGGCAAAGGGACCCATGAAATGCATGTTAAAATAAAATAAAATCTGCATTGATGCCTATTGCTGTCCTTCTGCAATCAATATCCAGTACCAGAAGAGCAAGCTCAATTTAGAGAAGGACAGAGGAAGAACAAGTCGTCTTCACAATAAGACCAACTCTTTTCACATAACGATTCTCTTGGTTTCAATTGTAGGTGTTGTGAGCTGCTTCTCTGAGGTCACCTTATACACATCCATGGATCTGACATTCTCTATTCAACGCTTGCAGAAATCAAACATTAAAGTCCAACCCAGGGAAGCATGTCTGAAAGCTGGTTTGCTTCCTTACAATCCTGATAATCTGTGTACTTATCTCTCCAGCAACTAAAATCATGTTAGGATACAGTGCACTCATAACTTCCCTCCTGGAGAGGATCCTCCTCCTCTGCCCCAGACATGTCCTCTTCATGTCGACTCACACTGTTACTTCCACTATCGCTCTGAGGGCTAGTGCTATGGCAGGTCAAACTCCGGCTTTCCTCTGCCCTTGGGCTGGCTTGTTCAGTAACCTTACAGGGGTTCACTGGTTGAAAAGCTTCAGGCTGCACTTGCTCTTCTGATATCTCGCTTAGTTTCTGGAGCTGTGGCTTGATGACATTTAAAAATGGCTTGTACCCAGGGCTAAAGAACAAAGGAGGAAGAGGTAACTATGCCGTGAACTAAAAATAGCACTTCATTCACATTCTGCCCTCTAGGCTTCAGCAGTAAATTATTACTGTAGGCACATCTATTTGAGCTCTTGCGTAAAGCACATGGGGTCAAACAGTGACAGCAATTCAAATAGAGACCATTGTTTCAGGGGACTCTGCATTATAACAGACTGTTACAGAGCTGTCTTCCCTGTGGATTTCTTTAGGGCAGCTGCTAAGGTAAATTCTCTTCTGAGCGCCTAAACTCTTAGTGAAGTCAATGTAAATGGAGAACCAAGTAGTGGAACGTTGTCAAAATACCAAATTATATATTGTAATAAGAGGGTCCCTTCATTTATTCAAAAGAATTTTAAAACTTACAAAGTAATAGTGGAAAACACAGCACTGTGTTCTGTAATTAGTAAAAATGGAAAGTGATAGGTTTCTAGTTGCATTGAAAATTTAATCAGTATATTGCAGTGGCACCGAAAAGCCTCAGACAGGATCAAGGCCCCAGTGTTCCAGGTCTTGTACAAACACACAGGAAGAAAAGAGATTGCAATAAAAAAATCAGTGAAAAACCTCACACTAGTAAATATAAACCCCAAATTGAACTACTTACAAATTCTATATTCAGCCATCTATCAAAACTAATCTGCTGCAATGACACGTACCAATCTGTGGAAGCCCATCTGTCTACAGCATGTAGCCCAGTCTTGATATTCTGCCAGATCTCTCCATCAGCATCAGAGGACTGCATTAAGATAAAAACCTGGTTGATTATTGAAGATTCTCTGAGAATAAGGCCGATGATAATGCACCAGTCCAGACATCCTGCTTCCATGAAGATGTGTAGCAAATACCTATGAGAACAAAACAGTTCATGCAGTGGCACGCTTTTTCCCCTCAAAATTCAGAACAACGCTAGATCATACACATGCTAAAAGCAAGACTGAACATATTTTAGTCTCAAGTCATCTCATGATGATGTAACTTACCGTAGTTGGACCTGTGACTTGTGTGGCCCTTTACTAGCCAATTCCAGAGAGATATGTTCCAGCTCTGACTGTGTTAAACTTAGAGTGGAGATGTTTTCATCCACCATGGTCCAGTCACCATCCACAATAGAACTTGTTTCCGTCAGGTCTGTTGCTGAACCAATGCTGCATTCATCACCTCCAAAATACATTAAACAGGATATTTGGAAAGCCATCTTAATTTATCAGGTGTCAATGTTTTCTTTTGCACTGCTTCCTCCAGAAACTGACTGGTGACATTTAATAGTTAAACATTTACATACTAATGTAACTAGCTTTGCGATTCAGTAAGAGTGTTATTGGGTACTGAACGGCTAGTAGTTAGCCAGGAGCAATCTGAATTTAAGTATATTGTCCTTCTAAGGATTTAAGGGCCTTGTTGGTGCATTAGATTAATATATACTTAAAGATAGACTTGCTTTTCTTGGTGCAAGCTATTTCTTCAGTAGCAATTCTTGTTTGTACCAGGTAAAGACAATCCTGCAGGATAAACTGGGTAGAAAGAGTAATATGTATATAACAGGTTTCAGAGGAACAGCCGTGTTAGTCTGTATTCGCAAAAAGAAAAGGAGTACTTGTGGCACCTTAGAGACTAACCAATTTATTTGAGCATGAGCTTTCGTGAGCTACAGCTCAGGTCCCCGAGGCACTCATACAGATCATTTGGAAAATAGTGAAGTACTATTGAGCTCTTGGACAGATGTAAAAATCTCCCAAATACTATTAGTAATCAAAATTACTACAGTGAACATCTTAAATTGATCCTAAAACTAAAAAGTCAGTGGAAATAGCTTACAAGGCAGTTCTTAGCATATGCCCCAGGTGGCACATGACCAGCACTCATCACCAAATTTCATCTGCTGTTTGGATCATTAGCTTCCCTGGGCACTGACAGGAAGCACAACATGAACGCTGATTCATGCCCCCAGTTAAAAGTTATTTCCAACAGACCTATAAGCCAAAGTAGTGCACCTTTGATTCCTGCTCATCTTAGTGTAAAAATCTGATTATCAGTATTGTCAGTTTTAGAGCATATAGTGAATGAAATGGGCATGAAGGATACAAATAGGTCTGCAGAGCAGGAGTGGATTGGGATTGGGATGTGTGAAACGGATTTAAAATTAACTAGTCTTTTTCCAAATGAAGCAAGATATAGAAAGGAAACTTAGTCAAATTTAGTTATTACAATAATCAGTTTTAATAGTTTCAGGTGCTACCAACACAGGTAAGGACCTTTTCTTTAAAAAAAATAGCATGAATTTTTACTTTCAATTCCTTTTAAATACAGCTGTCGCTTGCTTGGTTGTAGTCTTCAATTTTGACTCAGCCACAAAGTTGTCAATGCACTTTTAAATGTTTTTAGTATACTTTTCCACTGACTGAGCCAATCTTTTCTGCATTAAGGTATCATCAGATAACAGGACAGCACCATACAGCAGTGATGGGCGTTCATGAGAAAGGATGAATATCTAGATGCAATTTTCTGAGGGTGATGCAGAAAAGGATATGAGAGTGAGAGAATGAGAAATAACCTACCTTTATTAAATAAAGGAGAGAGGAATGCATCTTGCATATGAGGTCCATGGGATGAAACTGTGTCCATGTCTCTCTGGGAGGAATTGATGGTGCTAAGCCAGCTGTGACTCTGAGGTGCACTTGAGACCCCTGTGTCCATTTCCACATTTAAAAAACTGTCTGCAGACTGGGACTTGAGCAGCTGCTCTCCAACAGCTAGAAATAAGGAGGCATTTATAAAAAACAGACCTACCATACAAGTAGCCATTTATCTCCCAAACAACTTTTTACAGTTATAGCCAAGTCAAAATTCAAGTAATTAAGTCGCTGACAAACAAACAAACGCAAGGGAATGCAGATCTTATGGCTATTGCAAGACGCTTTGATCAGCCTCACTGTACCTAGACACTGGCACACAGTGAAAGTGCCATCTAATATGTTGCTGGCATAGCTGAGCTACCATGTAAACTCACTTTCTTGCACTCTTGAGACAGAAATTCAGTCTAGTTTATAGAATTAAAAGATGTTTTAAGATTGCAGTGAGATCCATGTGGTAATCTCTCAAAATAATATATGGAAAGATGTAACAACAACGTTGTAATACAGGTTTGAAAACTGCAGCACATTCTCACAATTTTAACTCTTCCATCTCATTACCACCACATTGCTAGCAAATTTCATCAGGTCACATGAAAAACAAGGTGTAGCTTTAAAAATCAGATAAAGCTGATCAAATGTCCATCTAAAACCACATAATGTACTGATTTTAGTCACTTTCTTTGGCTGAAATTGTATAAAAAGTTGTGTCCAGACTGATCTGTAACAGATCTAGTTCTCTGATTTAATACAGCTAAAATATAACTTCTGAGAGAAAACAGGAAACTACAACATAACTACTACGAAGACATGAGGTCTATGCTAAACAGAAGGGGTTCTGAACCCCTTCAAAACCATGCGAAGTAAGGAACTGTGCAGGTGATAAACTTCAACATGTTCTTTGCTTGGCTGAACTGAGATTCAAACTGATGGAGGCAGGATTGCAGGAGACAAACCTAGTCCACCAAAATAACTCAGATGGTACATCACCTGTCTTGTACTTTCCATTCTTGAAAGGTGAATTAACAGAGCAAGCTGGTATGACTGGAAACGGCCAGAGAAAATCCTTGTGTAGTCTCTTCAAGGCAATCACAAAATCCTCCACACGGGCAGCTCGTGCTCGCTCCTTACACAGCCAGCCAATCAGCTCAAAGCCTAGTTGTGCAGCAAAGCAGCCAAGGTCTTTAAGCCTGATTTCCTCCAGCAAGCGTCGAGCATGACGCCAGAGCATCATATCAATGTACATGTTCTCAGCACAGTCGCTGTCTTTACTCCACCTGTGGACCAACACAAGTGAAGCGGTGATAGTAAGACTGTAGCTTAAAAGTCCTTTACCCAAGAGTCTTCACTATCACGATGATCTATGTGACAATAGGAATGTGGCAGATAGAAACTAGATTAAAAGAAAAGGAGGACTTGTGGCATCTTAGAGACTAACAAATTTGAGCATAAGCTTTTGTGAGCTACAGCTCACTTCATTGGAATGCATCCGAAAGCTCATACTCAAATAAATTTGTTAGTCTCTAAGGTGCCACAAATACTCCTTTTCTTTTTGCGAATATAAACTAACACAGCTGTTCCTCTGAAACCAGAAACTAGATAGGCAGCACCAGCTGCAGGGGCTTAAAGTCTTAGCAGTAAAGGCAAAGCACTAGGGAAGCAAGGAGCAGCCCCCCCCCGTTTCAAAGTGGCCTCTCAGAGAAAGCAAACTCCAGAAGACTGTGGCACTAGCAATTGCTCTCACAGACAAACACTCCTGCCAGTCTCTAAGCCCTCAGCTGGGGCTCCCCTGTTCAGCAGGGGGATGAGTCCCACCTGCTCTGCATCATCCTACTGAGCCCTAACCATCTTCACCTGGACCCCCCTGCAGAGTCCCATTGCCCCGCACCCAGAACTCCCCCCCAATAAGCCCCTGTGCACCGAGATTGCTCACTGAGCTGCCCACACCAGGATCCTGCTAGCCTGAGTCTGCCTGCCCACAGCTGGTGTGCCTGCCACAGAGGGGCAGAGCCCTGGGGTGTTTCTGGGGCAGCCTCACCACCGAGTCCCTGTCCTGGGGTGGGGGACTGTAGGGTAATCTCTGATCTTCATGCAGTCAGTGACCTGTGCTCTCCACTGCCCTGGTGGAGCCTCCACATTTATTTACTGAAATTAAAATTTGCAGATATTTTTTTGGGGGGCGGGATGCAGAATTTTTAGGCTCAGAATTCCCTCAGGAGTAGCAATGTCACTGTGCTGTGGCACCAGGAGTTAATTCAGGATAACTAGCTTTCAGCAAATGACTCTTCAGGAGATGGACATACATGAAAAATCATGGTAGTCCTGCAAGTTTTGGGAGAGGTGAGCTTTTCCCTGGGTCAATGTTTCATATAGGTACTGAGTGTCTAACATGAACTTTAAATACTGATCCAGGCAGTCGACTTTGTGCTGGTGGTGGAATAGTAGCAATCTTCAAACAGGAGAGGCCCGTGAAGTCCAAGAACCCACTGAAGAGGATAACAGAGGAAATGTGCTTCATATACAGTCATGCAGATATCTACTCTGTTCCTTCCTACACCAAGCACCATATCTGCATGGGAGGGGGACACTGCCTTTAAAAACAAAAATGTGTAGTACTCTGGAACATAAATGTCTTACTAGATCAGACCAGGGTCCATCTAGTCCAGTACTTGGTCTCTAACAATGGCCAATACCAGCTCCTTTACAGAAAGGAAGGGAATAGAAGAAAAATAGCATAACCTACTCCCAATAAAGTTTGTCCTAACTTCCAATAGTTAGAGATTTCAGTAAACTCTGAAGCTTAATGTTTTTATCCCTTTATGTGATTGAAAGAGGATGAACACTGTAATTTTCAAAATAAAAATACCACAAGAACAACAATCAAAACTGATACTTGGGAGAAACATTTAGATGGAATTCTTCTGGCAGATCAACACCAGATTCAGAGAAAGCTGGTCCATTCCACATAAGTGTTTAGCACTTCCTGAGAGTGAGTGATTTTCTTCAAGTAGGAGTCTTTTACAAGAATCTTTCATCTGGCAGCTTAGGGAAAAAGATGTTTCCCTGGACAGAATCCTCCCACCATGAAGATGACAACTGCACACTGAACAGAAGGAAGGGTGACAAATTCCACCTGCTCAGAAGCACAAAGATTTAGGAAATCAATGCTTATAGCTAAAAATTCCATAGGGAATTTCTGTGCTTGGGCTGGGAGGAATTCTTAATACTAAAGTCATAAATCTAACAACTTCGATCCAACTACTAGAAATATCCTAATTTTAAATGGTACAAACAAGGAAAAAAAGTTTTAAAATAGCTTAAGATTGGAGAAAATTCTCCTAAGAACATAACTGAATTCAGTTTGCAGGACATGAATCTGACTTCACTGTAACTAAAATTGATTTGAACTACATGCTTTCACTTGTAATTGCCAGAATTATTGCTCACACCTGTCTGTGTAATGCTAAGCTCACTTAACTTGCTTTACTATCTGTTGTATTGCTTAAAAGGACTAAACTTGAAACCTTTAGTTTCATGAGTATATAACTAAATCTCAGCATTTGCATGGCACTTTTGTAGCTGGCATTGCAAGGTATTTATATGCCAGATATGCTAAACATTCATTCCAGAGGACATTCTTCCATACTGATGACACTCATTAAAAAAATAATGCGTTAATTAAATGTGTGACTGAACTCGTTGGGGAAGAATTGTATATGTCTGGCTCTATTTTTCCCCACATTCTGCCATATATTTCATGTTATAGTAGTCTCAGAAAATGACTCAGCATATGTTCATTTTAAGAACACTTTCGCTGCAGATTTGACAAAAAGCAAAGAAGGTACCAACGTGAGATTTCTAAAGATAGCTACAGCACTGGACACAAGGTTTAAGTCTCTGAAGTGCCTTCCAAAATCTGAGACGGATGAGGTGTCGAGTGTGCTTTGAAAAGTCTTAAAGAGTAATGTACTCCAATGCGGAAACTATAGGACCCGAACCACGAAAAATGAAAATCAACCTTCTGACAGATGATGAAAAGGAATATGCATCGGTCCGCACTGCTTTGGATGGTTATTGAGCAGAACCCGTCGTCAGCATGGACACGTGTCCTCTGGAATGGGGACTGAAGCATGAGGGGACATCTGAATCTTTAGCACATCGGAAATGTAAATATCTTGCGACACCGGCTACAACAGTGCCACGAGAACACCTGTTCTCACTTTTGTGAACAAGAAGTGGGCAGCATTACCTCCTGCATATATGTAAGCAAAACTGGTTTGTCTGAGCAATTGACTGAACATGAAATAAGACTGATTGGACTGTAGGCTTTTATATTTTTTACATTGCTTTATTTTTGAATGCAGATTTTTTTTTTTTACATAATTTTACATTTGTAAGTTCAACTTTCATGATCGCACTACAGTATTTGTAGTAGGTGAACTGAAAAGTACTATTTCTTTTGTTTTTTACAGTGCAAATATTTGTAATAAAAATATAAAGTGAGCACTATACACTTTGTATTCTGTTATAATTGAAATCAATATTTGAAAATGTAGAAAACATCCATAAATATTTAAATAAATGGTATTCTATTGTTTAATCATGCGATTAAAAGCAATTAACTTTTTTAATTGCTTGACAGCTCTAAGAAGTTGAATTATAGTTGTTCTAGTCCAGTTACTTCATTACGTTTATACTTGGTTATTTGATATTCTGTCTCAGTTTAGTTGTTGAATTATGTTAAAAATGTTTAGTTACTAGTTAGTTAGTTAATATTGATGCTGTTAGTATCTTAAAGTGAACACCACTGTGGTTAATGCTCAGAGGTTTTTGAATTTTATACTCAGCTTTATAACTAGGCCATTCAGTATAGTTAACCAACCATATTTTAATTTACTTTATATTTCAGAATTTCATGTTTTGTTTAGAGGTTGTCTTAAGAGTTGCTACATTGTATCATTCATTTTATTTACTTGTTTATGTGGTGTATATCATTTGCATGATTTACTTGTTTATTGGTTTTGTAATTTTTAATTACTTAAACATTCTTTATTTCAAAGTCAAGTTAATTGTTTATTTTGGGGCAGCAATGTGTAAAAGGATCTGTGTTAAGTTTTGCGGTGATGCACCCCCAGTGCAGTCTCATTAATAACCATAATCAGTAAGTCCAGCTTTTGATTTGGTTTTCCTGAACTAGTCATGTGAGGAGCAATTAATTAGATAAATAATTCCATCTAATTAATTGTTTCCCCAAAGTATTCATTTTGCTAATTGCTTGTTTCTTTTTGTAATTTCACTGGCATCCAACCCCTACCACACCAGGCCTTCAAAAGCTTTTGTTTCTTAATTTTATAATATTTACTATAACAACTCTGGATATTCCTGTTATCCATGTAAATGTCTGTTTTATTACATCTGCTAAGTTCTTGACCTTAGTACTATCTTACAGCATTTTATTTGAGTAAAAACACACATCATGGTCTGAAGGGTCGTTTTCCTCATCATTTTAAAAATACAGTATTGGACAGTAACTTCCTATGGACAATTCTGGTTTGTGCTCCCTGAATTTTATCTTGTTTACCACTTCTAAGCAGAACAAATAACTTCAATATCAAAGTTACAGCTCATGCACATAAAAAGTTATGATAGATGGAAATCAAAGTAGCCAATATCTGCAGTAGAAGCAAAGGGAGAAATTTCTTCTGCAGTATTAGGTGAGATGCTCTATTATAGCTGATGGACATGTGAGTGCTCACTGTGTTCTGCTCCATCAGAACCTCCAGGGATCTATGGAATCTCACAGCACACAGAACACCTCTAAGGTTGCTGTCAGGGCCAAATTAAGACAATCTAGGGTCCTGGGCACTCCCCGCCCCCCCTACCCATGCTGTGGCCCAGACCCTTTCAGGACTAACAACAGGTTTCACACTGAAGATGAATGGCCCAGCTCTCACATCCCAGAGGTAGTTTCAGGCAAGCATCAGTTATACTTGGTTCACACTTTTCAACTTGTCTTTGCATCCATAAGGGCTAGAACGTGTTTTTTGTTTTTTTTTTTTTTTTTTAAATGGAAGCTGAAATCCTGATCTCACATGACTCCAGGAGTCATGAGTGCCCATGCCTTAATATAGCCCCATTGTATAATCTGTTACAATGTAAATAGTTTGGATGAGTGGGGCAGGGACTATTCTCTGTACAGTGGTCCAGCACCGTAGGGATCAATCATGAATTGTACTATGATATAAATGTTACCTTTTCCCAGATGGCCCAGAAGGCATGCTCAGTGTTTTCTGTAGATTAAATTTGTTGGGAGGATTCTCTGCTGATTGGGATAAACTAATGCTGCGATGTCTAAAGAACTCAAAGCCACCAGTTGAGCTGGGTTCCTACAACAAAGAAGCGTATGACCAACTAAAGTAAAAACATGTTACATCTTGGGTATAAATGAGATTCATTATGTTTAGTGACTGATACACAAGATTTAGGATTTTCTTAACAAACCTGAGTTGTGGGTGTAGGCGGCGGAGTCTCTGATTCACCAGAACCAATGGCTTTAAGAAATCTGATCATGTGACGACAAAGGTCCCACTTCCCCTGCTCCAGGGCAGTGTTGAACAGAAGAGTGGCATGCTGCCTACTAACTGCTGGAACTTCCATGTTCTACAAGTAATGCACAATATAAAAATAATTTGCTTCTGAAACCCAAGAATACTTTTGGAAAAAGTCAAGCCCCTCCCCCAGCAGTATGCTCAAAAATGAGAGTTGTAGGTAAAAGCATATTTCACACTTTTCCATTTTGTTAAGTGCTATTTTAGGGAGCTAGTCCTATTTAATTTGATCCCTAAACAGATATAATTGAGGTCAGGTGCCCACCAAAAAAAGTGTTAGCGGTTTTAAAAAAATAAATATATGCTAAACATGCAACAAATTGTTTAAATAAAACAAAAAAAAGGGACACTAAATAGTAACTTCACTTCTTTTTTATAATCAAGTAGTAGGATACTATTACCTGTAAGATAATAAGGTAAGAGGCAGCTGTGTCTAAGTCCTGGGCCATTAAGCACTCCTCAAATAAGTCTTTTGGGTTTCCAACAGCAGCAAAAAGGTAATTCCACAGGGCATATTCTGTCTTCCTAGCACAATGCACAACTGTCTGCAGGAAAAGGGGGAACTCTGTAATGAACTTAGCCACAGTGGGAAGCAGAGGGTCGGGAATGGGCTCCCGCGAGGTAGCTTCTTCTTCCAGCACTTCATGAAGCATCAGTTCTAGCACATGAGGAAAGTAAGGTAATGTGGCACAGGAGTGGGCCAAAAGCAAGGCTTGTTCTCCTAGGTTCCTAACCAAAAGCTGGCGCAAAATGTGATGGAGGTAGATCTGAGAGGTTCTCTCAACAATGCAGAAAGGAAAGAGGACCTCCAAATGTTGTCTAGCACTGCTGTGAGTATATAAACAGTCATAGAGTACAGTGTCATTGACAGCACCAAGAACCAAGGCATCTTCAAACAGAACAGCCAAGGGGTATATGTTGATGTGGAAAGGCAGCATGATCCGTCTTGACAAAAAGGAATGTGGTTTGCGGTGATCCCTGGGAAACAAAGGAAGCCAGACTTTCATACCTGACCCACCACAGCTGAGCCAGAGTGCCTCCAGTAAGTGGCGCTTTTGTTTGTTTGCCCTGCAGGTAGTCCAAACATTTTCAACCGACTGGGCTAGCACAACTGGAGCACAAAAAGGCAGCTGGGGAAGAAAAGAAAAAAAAAAATCTTAATACCCTTTTTATTTATGCCTCATCTCACTAGCATCCTTCCTTCAGCTGAAAGGGGCAACAGCATCTCCCTGCAAAACACACTTCACTTTCATTTAATAGATTTGACGGCGAGGGGAGTATATGATAGGAATTCACTATTGTAGAGACTTATGTATTTTTACTAGGCATTTCTAAAACTCTAGTCAGTGCAAGTACTCAAGAAAGCAATTCAACTTGTGTTTCCACCCCCACAAGCCTAAACCTAGCAAAGTACTGTATACCAGAGATATTTATTTGCCTCCATCCATTTTAAAGGTTTTTTCACAAACACAGCTTGTCATCACCCTGGGGTCATTACTTTTCTAAAAGTGAGGACTGCTAAGAAGTGCAATTCCTATGCAAGTTAGTCTAGCTGTATTTTGGGCACCCAGAAAAAGCTCCAGTATTAATTAACCCACCAAGAGGGATCTCTTTCATTCCTCATTTACCAGCTGATGCCACTGACAATTCCAGTCAGAAGGCTGTTCAAATTGCCTATTTTTAGCACAGAGTGTAAGCTAGGGCTGATGGATTACTGTAAAAAATAATGTTTGCAAGCATTCATTTGAATCCAACCATGCTCACGCTCACACATCTTTCTCTGCAATTTCAGAAGATTCACACAGACATCATTATTACCAATGATTGTGAAATTGTTGCTCTTCATATGACTATCTACATATTGTCATAAGAACAAGGATAGTCATACATTAAAGAGTTCATTCATTAATTTCTCTGTTATCTTTTAAGAAGTTGGTCAAAAATGCCAGTATGTGCCTGAAGGGGACGACAAACCACAAGTATTCAAAGTGAACAGTTTAGAAATAGCCCACAGGTCAAAAACTGTTTGCCCAACCTATGTACAGCACCTACCACAGGGGGATCCTGATCTATGGTTGGGACCCCTATGTTACAGCAATACAAGTAGTATCTGGTTATCACAGATACTTGCAGAAACAAAAACTGGCTTGTAAATGATTTGTGAACAGAAAAAGAGGACTGCATTTTTCAGGTAATTTATTCACAACAAATAATTCAACCAGTTTTAGCACAGGCATTGAAGTGTAGCTAAACACTCGTTTCTAGGCCAAGACCAATCACCTTCACAATTTGCTGTGTCCTCACAACCTTTGAAAAGTCTTGTGTAATCCCAAGTATGTTTACTCACAAGTTTCCTTTGGTTAGGACTGCTGTCCTTCTCTCTTATCTGGGGGCCAGACCGATCCCTTTGTACCATGATGAGTTGTCCTGCTAAGTTTAACATAATGCTTTCTGCCTCACAGGCCTGTGGGGAAAAAACTATAAATTACTTATCTCTAAACTTTCCCGAATTCATAATTTTTGCTTTGATATGTACAGTACAGTCTCTGTATAAACTCACCGCCAAACTAGTAAATTCAAAACACTGGCGCTCCCACTAAGCACATCTTTACAGGAGGCTAGTAAATACTAGCGTATGAACTCTAGATACAATTCTTTCTTCTAAACCAGCTGCATATAAAGGAGGACAGATGCAAATGCTCATGGCTTTGATCTGTTTCTTAGGGAGGGACCTACCCCGTAAGCTCCCTAAAAGCTTTGCTCATCTAGGAGTAAAGCGTGTAAACTGGGGATATGTTGGAGGGAGGTGCTGGCCTTTTCCTGCTCTACTTCATTTTAATCAAACAGTTTAATTGTAAGCAGAGGTTTCAGTGTGTGCAACTTTCCTCAAAAAGCTTCTAAGGGTATGTCTACATTACAATTTAACACTTGTGGCTGGCCCACATCGGCTGACTTGGGCTTGGGCTGTGCCACTGTAAAATTGTAGTGCAGACTTTTGGGCTCAGACTGGAGCCTGGGCTCTGGGACTCTCCCGCCTTATGTTTGGGCTTCAGCACTAGTCCAAACATTTACACCGGAATTTTACAGCCCAATAGCCGAGCCTGAGCCCCAGCCTGGCCTGTGCCCCTTGCCTTTAAATCCACTTATTTGAGCTAGCATTGCTGCCAGTCTGTGCAAGTGCCATGTGGTGGAATTGATTACACCAGGGTCAAGCCTCTTAAAGAGCCTATTTAGTATAGGAAACAATCGTAAGGAACAAGCAGGTCTGGGCACCTATGGAAGGAAACATTTAAATAGGTCTACTGTAAAAGTGACTGTAAAAATGCCACCTCGTTCAACAGAACTGCTCCATGTCTATTCGTAGTTCTGCCTCACAACTTTAATTGTAAAGTAAGCTTTTTCTGCTTCTGTTCTGTTGACACTGAAGAGTCAATACTGCTACAGGAGAGGAAGGTGGATTCCATTGTGGCTCAGGCATCATCAATAGAATGGTTAATCAAGATTGATCGCAGGCACTTAACTGTTAATGCTAGGGCCAGAAAGAACCCAGCTTAACTTTTATATTCAAGGTTGACTCGCAGAGATGGCAATTAGAGTAAACATCTTTTTACTTGTAAACTCAAAAAATTTGATATGGAATTTCTGTAAAAGCAATCAGGAAACCCAATCTGTAGTGTAAATTTTCCCCTCCCAAATAAAAGTGCACTTAAAAACCTTAAATGTCTAATACTACACTGATACTTGGATCTCTGAAAAATGTTTATTTTGTTTTACATTTAAATCAACTGCCTGACAGCTTATGTGTATAAAGCCCACATCCAGTTTTTCCTATCAGGCTAGAAGGACCCAAATTCTACATTCTCAACATCTGAGATGGA